TCCTCGAAGAGCGATAGTCAGGCTAACAGCCTTTTCTTTTTCAGACCATCCATTCGCTCTTGCGGGTGATTCGAACTGTTTCATGTAGTTGTTCCATGACGTTCCATGACGTTCCATCGAAAGTTGAGACTTTAACATGAACAGAACCTGCACTTCCTTCAAATGTCGGCCGTGTTTTCAACTTACATTTTGTCTCGTCTTTTGTTTACAGTCTAGATATGAGTCATTATTTATCGTAACAATAAATTAATAACTTAAGCCAATCAAGCGAAAATAGTATTTATCAATAAATTTTCAAGTTGCCATTTGGTCAAAAATATATTTGAGAATGACATTGCATCAATAAGAATTTGTATAGCTATAGAAGCAAGCAATAAGAATAATAAAAAATATATATTTAATTGAACAGTCTGTCATTAGATGAGTTATCCCGAAATTTAGTGATATAAATATGTATGTACAGCGTTAACAGGCCTTTTAGGCCCATTGCTGGATAGATAATTTCCATCGTTTTCTATTCTTAGTTAACAGCTTCCAGTCTCTGATTCCCATCTCTCTGACATCTTCCATCACTACATCTTTCCATTTCTTTCTTGGTCTTCCTCTCTTTTTTTTGCCCTCAGGTACTCTCCAAGCAATATTCTTGACTAGTCTATCACCTTGCATTCTTTCTAGATGACCGAGCCATTCTAGTCTACGTTTTTTTACCACTATTGTTATTGTAGGGTTAGCATACAAATGATACACTTCTGCATTAGTTCGTCTTCTCCATTCTCCCTCTACTACTTTTCCACCAAATATTCTGCGAAGAATTTTTCTTTCCCATGCTTCCAATGTATTCTGTATGGTTTTGTTCATAGTCCATGTCTCGGCAGCGTATAGCATTGTGGGTCTAATTATAGTTTTATATACTCTTATTTTTGTATTACGAGATATATCTTTGGCCTTAATTATTTTGCTCATGGCTCCAGCACACTTGTTGCTCTTGGTCAGTCTCAGGTTGATTTCAGTTTCTTCCTTACATGCCTGATCAATAAGAGTACCTAAGTACATATATTCATCCACCTTCTCGAATTCTACAACTGATCCATCCTTCACCTCCAATTTAAAGGATTCCTGGTGTTTATTCCTTTTTTGCTCGAGATCTCCATGTATTTCGATTTATTAATATTAATTTTCAGTCCCATTTTAGAGCTTTCCCGAATCAATCTTTTGTTATATTTGATAGCTCTTTTCCATTTCTTGTAATAAGAACCACGTCATCAGCGTATGCTAAGCATTGGTGTTCCTTGTATAAAATAGTTCCGGACCTATTTATCCCACTATCCCTTACAATTTTTTCTAGAACTACATTAAATAGCAATGTAGACAACGGGTCTCCTTGGCGAACACCTTTTTTCACTTCAAATTCTTCTGAGATTGTACCGTTGCATCTCACAGCATAAATGGTTTGTCTAATTGTCATTTTTACCAATCTTATTATTTTTTCTGGCACTTGGAATTCTTTTAGTGTTTCTATTAACTTGTTTCTGTCTATTGTATCGTAGGCTGCTTTGTAATCAATGAAAAGTACTTGTGCTGAAATGTTGTATTCATAGCAATTGATCAGGATTTGTTTTAGCATAAAAATTTGATCAGTTGTTGATCTTCCTTTCCGAAATCCTCCCTGGTATTCTCCTAGATTCTTCTCTATATATATTTCTAATCGTTTTTTAATTAGTATGGCGAGTACTTTATAAATTACTTCTAATAAAGATATTCCTCTATAGTTTGCGCATTCAGTTCTATCTCCCTTTTTGTGTATAGGAATTATAATCGACTTATTCCATTCTTGAGGCATTTCTTCGGCATCCCATACTTCTAGTATTAGCTCGCCAAGTTTGTTTATTAAGGTCTTTCATCCATATTTTATGTTCTCTGCCACAATGCCGCTCTCCCCGGGGCTTTTTTTTGATTTTTCATATCTTTTATTATTTCTTCAATTTCTTCTCTTGTGGGCCTTGGTATTTCTTCTATTACTATTTGAGGTTTAGGAACATAACAATTTTCTTCAGTAGTCACTTCTTCATTTAGCATCTCTTCGAAATATTCTTTCCACCTTTCACATATTTGGTCTTCGTCCACTATCAGGTGTCCTTGCTTATCTTTTACATTTATCGTTCTTCCCTGGTACCCTATTTTAATGTATTTTACTTCTTTATAAAAATTTTTTATTTAATTTTTCTTGTAATTTTCTTCAATGCGCTTGATTTTATCATCCATATACTTTCGTTTGCGCTCCCCTAGGATTCTCTTTACTTTTTTTCGTTGTTCGGCATACCTTTCTAGGTCGTCTTGTTTTTGCGATCGTAAACTTTTTAATCTCAAATCTGATCTCTTTTTTAACTCTGTTCTGCATTCTTCATTGAACCAGTGGTTTTTTCTAAATCTTTTTGATCTTGGTATGTTCTTCGACGTAGCTTCTTTATAGTGGTTGTCATTTTTAAGAACTTTTGTTGTATGTTACTCACAGTAGTACTATCTTGTTTCGCGTAGATTTCTTGTATATCCTTTTGATAATCCTGCGCTACCTCAAAATTTTGCAGTTTTTCATAGTTAAATTTACGTTGCACTTTCTTTTTCCGTTTATATGCTTTTTAATTATTGCTTCTCTCATATTAATTGTAACCAAAAAATGATCTGAGTCTACGTCAGCCCCCCTGCACGTTTTAACATTTGTTATTAAATTTGCAAATTTCTCTTGTATTAAGATGTGCTCTATTTGATTAGTTCTTTGATCCCGGAATTTTCCACGTTCCTTTATATATATTTTTTCTCCTAAAATGGGTACTCATTATCTTCATCCTGTTTTCAATTGGGAATGTTATTAAACTTTGTCAGTTATCAATTGTATTCAAATGTTTACTTTCACCCCTGTTATGGTTTTATATATATCTTCTCTTCCGATCTTTGCATTGGCGTCGCCTATAATAATTTTAGTATCTTGTCTGGGCATTTCTTCACACAATGACTCTAATTCTTCGTGAAATTCGTCTTTCACTTCTTCGTCTTTTTCTTCTGTTGGAGCATGTATATTTATCAATGATATCATATTTTTTTGTCCCTTAATTCTAATTGCACACATTCTGTCAGATTTTACTACGAATCGTTTTACTTGCTCCACGTCTTCATGTACCAGAAAACCCACTCCAAAATTCCTATTATCGCCTCCACTTATGTAAAACGTGTATGGGCTAATCTTTTTAATGTCGTTTCTAGTTAAATGTGTTTCCTGTATTGCTAAGATGTGTATTTTATATTTTTTTAGTTCTTCTATTAGGTTAATTAATGCTCCCTCCTCGTATACTCCTCGTACATTCCATGTAGCAATATTTAGGTACATATTCTTATTTTTTATTTTGCTATTTATGTTCAAACTCATTTTCCTGTTCATCGCTAGGGTCCGTTGGCATAATGGGCCATCTTTTCCTTTTTCCACTACTATATGTCGTTTTTTGGGTCCATATTACTAGAATTTTCTTGTTTAAAAGTACCATTACCGGCCCATACCCAGTTTATGCCATCCACAGTTAGTTTTTTGTACCCCATCTTCACATTTCTACCTTCAGCTCTTAATTCCTTGCCTTTATTTACGATTTCCTGCCTCATGTGTCTTTCTTTTTCGGTCAGGTCATCGTTGATGAAGATCTTTTCTCCAGTAAGAAATCTCAGTTTGTTTTTTTTCTTTCATAACCTTAATTTTTTCGCCATAATCCTTCATTTGTATCAAACATTAGACATATATTGTTCTTTAACTTCATTGCAGATTCTTTTTCGACATCCTCTTTTAGGTGCTTTTGTATAAAATCTTTTACATTATTTTTTAAGAGTGTTTCATCGGTTGTGTTTATTGGTAGACCCGTAATTACTATGTTATTTCTTTTCATCTGTTTTTCAATTCTTTCTAGTTTGTTTTCAACCTGGGTTAATTTGTTTTTTGTTTCTTCCAATTCTTGACTTATCTTTATATTTTCTTTTTTCAGCGCTATCATCTCTTCTCTATATTCCTTATTTTAATTCCTGATTTCTTTCAGTTCCGCCATCATCTTCTTGAACATGCTCATAATGTCGTCCAAATCCTCTGAATCTTCTTTCTTTGGTTTTCTTTTGCTTGGGGTTCTGGCAGTTTTTTTGCTCTGCAAGAAAGGTGAAGTTGACCCTCTATCTTTTCTCTTCTTGCCTTCTGACGTATTATTATCACTACTCGTGTACATTATATCTGTTTCTAAGGACCGCGAAAGGAACTAGATCCGCTTCAGTTTGTAGAACTATTTTTAACTTTGGCAACGTCGCAAAAATAACGGCCAGAGTTCTACCAGTATGACTGTTTCGAATTGTAAATAACCTTACGTACTTTTGTCACTTCAAACACTAGTTTTTATCGAAATCGGGTTTTTTTTCCAGAAATTTTTCACTGTGGTATTACGAAGCCTTTTTAAATTCACATATGTAAACAAATCGTAAATTATTTTTCGCTACTAATCGCAATATTTGGGATTTTAGTAGGAGAAAAATAAATTTACTTTTATGTGCTTAGTACACTGTTGCCGGAGATCAGTGATATACACTGTCGAATAGTGATATAAATATACCTAAAGTTAAATGTCGAAAGCTCGGCGCAAAGATAATCGACGCGGTTCAACCTGGACATGATAAAAAGTTTGAAATTAGCGTTAGCAAAACAGGCGTTACGTTTAGTTTTTAAGAGTTGTAAACCTATCAATACTTTCAAAATGTTTAATACGGCTGATACTTTTTTCAAAAACATAAAATTAATATTTAATAAAAATCATAGATAGCTGAATTCTTTAGCGAACTAACTATCTATGTGATGTTCCATACGTGGTCCCTTCCCTATTTAAAATTAAAGGTTTATGTACTGAAAGGAAGGGGGTTATCATAAAAATATATTAATTTAGTTTTTATCGTTTGTGCACTCCTAATTTCCACAATTTGTTTCAGGTTCGGAATCGGGTCCACATGAGAAGCTTCTTCTCAACAATTTGCTGGCTGCTTACAATGTCCTGGAGAGACCCGTTGCCAACGAGTCAGAACCCTTGGAAGTTAAATTCGGCCTAACTTTACAGCAAATTATTGATGTGGTTAGTATGGAATTACATTATTCTTTTTTGAGTTCAAGATGTTCCCAAATGATATAATTTTGTCTCGGTCGGTTACTGCTTCATGATGCTAAAATATTAATTTTTATACAATTTATAGTAACGTAAGTAATAAGCAAACTTTCAAATTTTTAACCCTAATAATTTTGACTCTAACACAATTTTCAAAATATTGGTGAAGTAACTTTTTAATGTTGGTAAATTGGTGAAAGTTTATAAAGTTTAGGTGAATCCACCAAAGTTAAAAGATTAAAAATAACTTTTTTTTTGAAGGGTTTGGTTTAGTGAAATTTTTTTTGTTATTCATAAATTTCAACTTTTTTATTACTGATTTTGACAAATATTTTTGTCAGTTTTACTCTTTGGAAATACTCATTTATTTTTATTTAAAGCGAGACGAGATACTACAGGTTACAATTATTTTAGTATCTTCCATCAGCTAAATATCTTTAGTCCCCTAAGCTTTTATTATTACCCAGCGTCCTTAGTTTTTTATGTCACATTGTCTCCTTTAGATTCCCTTTTGGTATCTTAAAGATAAGCCAGCTCACATTTAGATTTATGGAATTCTTTATTCTTAACCAATTTTAACTCCACTTTTATTTTTTAATAAATTTCTTTATAATGTTCTCCTTAGCACATATGAGCACAAAGTACCCCGTCTACAAGTAGAGTTCCTTACATCGTTTGGTTTTATAAGGGCATCTTTCAGGACTCACTGCTAATTTTGAGGATTGCTGCTGTCTTCGTCGCCATTAGGGCAGTTTTGTAACTCTAATCACCTCGACATTTTGGCAGCAGTACCAGTTAGTTACAAGCTCTGTTATAAAATATATATATATATATATATATATATATATATATATATGTGTGTGTGTGTGTGTGTGTGTGTGTGTGATCTATGTGTATACAGACATCTAATCGATGTTTAATGCTATTCTTGATGTTAAACGGAATGATAAAATTGTTGAGTAGTAAAATTTTATCGACTTTGAATGTTTAATCTACAGGAAATTCACGGGAATATATTTTATAATACTCCTTTGGCGGGAAATAACGTAGCTACTATCTGATGACGTTGTGTATAGGAAACCTCTAACGGTTTTTACCTGCAGGTCGATTGAAAAATGATCTGAATAATGTTGTTTATAACATGCATTAAATTTATATATATATATATATATAATATATATATATAAAATATATATTAGATTAGAATAATATTATTAGAAAAAATGATATCAAATTCTCCTGGTTTCCCTGATCGAGTTGAGGAAGTCAAAAATTCGGTATACATATAAATATATATATATAATATATATATATATATATATATATATATATCGGTATACTAAGTGTAGCTCAAAAACAATCTAAGCTTGATTAATTTTTTTTTTGTAATACATATTAGCTTGTTTCTCTGTTAAATTATACAACTGTTAATACATTATGTAGCTTCAATAATAAAATTTATATTCAGAAAACAACTAAAACTATACAAGTAATTGATTAATGTATTCTGTTTAGTAATTTGTCCCTTGTAAAAAAATACTAGTTATGGTAAATGATATTAAATGATTTTTCGGTTTATACAATAGTTAAAAAAAATGACTTTTTTCATTTTTCACTTAAAAATCCCACAGTTGTAAAAAAAATAAGTTTGTTTAAAGAAACCTTTCTTTACACTAATCTCCGACTTTAACTAATTACCAAACATAAATGCAAACATATTTGACTTAAGAAAGGATATTTTCGAAAGGGTTTTAAACGATAACTGATAAAAAATTAGTTACAAGAATGTTCTACAATTATTTATAATTACAATTTCCAATTGTCAATCTTGTCAATTGAAAAAATAGAAAAACATAAAATAAATTATGGCATATGCTTATAGTAGACAAGCAGAAAAATAAGATAAGTCAATGAATAGAGAATAAATATAAAGCCTTAAAGCATATGCAAAGTTGGAAATATAAATGACTGATCACAAATTGAAATTGTCACAAATAAATCGATTTCGAACCACGTTTGATATTGACCCTAAAAAATACAAACGAAATGGATATTATGCATTTTTTTTCACAGCTCTTTGTTTTGTACCGCTTCTAGCTTAAACGCAAGGCGAACTAAAATGCACTGTATGGAATACATTCAAAATAAACAATGGACCGTTTATTTCCACGCCAGCTTTTTCAATAGAATCGCTTTTCTCGGTGTAGTTGCGGCATAGTTGCCGAGAAAATATCTACATGCTTTTCTTTCATTCAATTTTCGCGTCGGAATTCCAACAATCTCTATAAATATTTCACTTAGCTTTGTATCATCATCGCATTATGCTGTGTCCAACCACATTATTTAATTACAGCTGTAGAGTGGTATTAAAATTTTGTCCCGCTTTAATTGCACAGAGAATCAAAAGTCCCGTGGTTATCAAAAGCACAGTTAGCCAGCCTTTTAATAATTTATTTCTAATAAACAGAAACATTTGCCCTTTGTCGATATGTACGAGGTAAATTAGCCTATTGAGTCCATCTAAATTCTTGACTAACTCTATTTATCTGAAACCTAATAGAATAAGAAAAAATAAATAGCATATAATTTTAAATATTATAGTATATTAAATGCATTAAGAACAAATTGTTGTTTGTAGGTTAGGTTTTTGTCGTTTAATTCGATACTCTATTATATCGTTTTATTATTATTGCGCTGGTATACAAAGAAACATCAACTATATGCGAAATAGTTTTTTATTGATCAATATACTTGTAAATCCATTGGATTTTTGTTTTAAGTATCTGTCGATTATTATAAGAAATATAGTATATACAGAACGAATAATCTTGTGAAAATCGATGTTATTTACTTGACATCTTAAGACTTGAAACATGGTAAAGAATAATATTCTTCCATTAGTATTTCCACTGAAAATTAGAAGTTATAGCAAGTAACCTATTAAAATAAAGCCTATATGATGTATAGGAAAAGTAATTAAGCCATTTTCAGCAAAATAGCTGAAATGTATTTCTAAAAATATAAAATCTTTGATAAACTCTAATGCTAACAGAGACCGCTCCAGAATATAATTGCTTCATTGCATTTGCCTGTTATAATTCTTAGTATTAACTAATATACATATTTTATTTGAAATGGAAATAAGATGGAATTTTAAAATCACTATAATTTTTAATGATATACAAGATTAAACCAAGAACTTGTAAGATTAAACCAAGAACAAATAATATTTAAAACTAAAATAATAAAGTTGTCTAAACTTAAGCATTTCAAAAACAAAGAATGAACTTGCTTATTGACAGCCTATTATGCTAAAAGATCAACAGTTTAAACATTTATTGTCGAACTAAACTTATTTACCTTCTTAAAAATTCAACTGTTAACATGATTCTCAATACCAAAGAGACTTCGTCATAACAGACAATCACTTCTAAAATCGTTAAGATGGTCACAGCTAAACTTAAACTCTTTCTAACTAACTTTGCTAACCTCTAAACTAACAAGACAGCTAACCTTTTATAATTATAAAATTTTTAAAATTTGCCATTCTTATTTTTATTTTGTTAAATGGTTCTCGTCGTTGAGTTTATTCTACGATACTTTATTTTTTCTCCTAGTAACTGAATAATTTTAGTTTTTTCTATCAGCGGCGCGACACCAGAAAACTAGTAAAATATATAGCTATAATATTCTTTCTCTTAAAATAATAGCTGAGATATCAATTCTTCCTGCACTTTTGTTACTTGTGGGTCTGTTAATATTTCTTTAACTTCATTTAAATTTGATTGGTTCCTCGCATGTTCTTTTTTTCTCTTTTTTGCCAATTCTCATTTGCCTCTAGTTTCTCTTGTTGGTCTTTATTTAACATATCTTTAATTCGTTTTAATTTTTTTGTAGTTTCTTCCGGGGGTGAAGGTTTGTGTCTGCAATACTTTGTAATATTTTTTTAGTTTCTAGAGAGTACTTAACTTTTCAATTGCTTTTCTAGCTGTTTTCTTTTCCTCTTTCTGAAATTTCTTTTAACTTTTTTTCTTGTAGCCACATAGTTTTCCATCGTATTTTGGGTATTATTTCTGTCTCTGTTTATTTGTACCTCGTTTTTTTCTTAAGTCAAAAAAATTTTTATATTCTTTATTGTTCTAGTCTTGACACTTTTCTGTTGCTTCCGACATGACTGTCTTTATGGTCTGCCATTCTTCTTTTATTTGCTGCTTGACTGGATGCCATTATTCTTTTCTTCCTCTAGTCTGTTTATTAACCATTTCTCGTTAAGGTGCTCTAATTGGTAATTTAACCTATCTCTAACAAATATTGGAATTATTGGTAATTCTTCTTTTATTTTGCTATTACCTGGGGATGGTCACTGATGGTATCTGCCCCTCTGTAAGTCCTCAAATCGACTATTTCCTTATCCTATATATTTTTTATTAGGAGTTAATTTATCTGATTATTTACTTTCCCAGTTGGGGGAGTCCATGTTACCATATAGATTCCATGTCTCTATGATCAAATATTGTGCTAGCTATTTTCATTTTGTTCTCTGAAAAATTCGATTACCATTTTTCTATTTTGATCTGAATCTTTATGCAAACTTCGTTCCCCTGTTATTCTTCTATAAATTTCTCCTTTTCTGACTTTCGTATTCATATCTCCTATGATTATTTTTATACTGTACTTCTATATATTTACTACAATGGTACCTAGTTTTTGTAGAACTCTGTTTTGGTTTCTAAATCTGCATCTTTAGTGAGCGCATGTACCTTAATGATACTTATCTTTCTACACTTTCGCCTTACTCTCAACCAACCTATTCTATGTGATATTGCTTGAAAATCTACTACTATTTTGTTTACTTTCTCAGACACCATGATTTTCACTTCAAAATATCTCTTGATCTCCCACTCTTAAATAGGGTACTTTTTCCTATTTTTAATATTTCATTTCCCAGTGGTTTAATTTCTTACAGGGCA